CCACCTGAATCCACCAAAATGGAAAGCGACCGCTGTCTATAAAAATCCGCAATTACAGATACGTTACCTACCCTCAATTGACGGAGGTGGAGACGCACGGAAAGAGGACATTTCCCCTTCTTATATGTCTCCTCCACCGTCAAATCCATTTAACTTGCCATCCTTTCCTCTTAAGAAAAGGATGGAAAGGGAAAGGGAAAGGGACTAAAATTAGGCCTCCGGCACGACACTCATCACATGAAACGCGGAATGCTTTCACTTCACGCCTGTTTTTTGTGTGATCGTGGTATTTCACCGGGCCAGCCGGCCCTACAGTACGAAAATGTTAAAGCGGGCTCTACCACTCTTAAAGTTATAAGTTATATGTCAACGCACAAAATACAGGACCTGAAACTTGAAATTTTGCACAGATATTTATTCCTACGTAGTCGTGCACTAGGCAAGATGTTTACAAATTCCTTCATCTCAAACTCTAAAGTAGGTAAGTTTTTATACAAAAATGAATTCCTTCAATAGAATTACAATTACGGTAGAACCTCGATAAGTCAAACCTCTATAACTTTAAAAATAATGTTTTTCCTCCCCATCAGAGCACAAACCCCTAAAACTTAAAATAAGCAACCTCTTAATCTCTGTATTGTCCCTCAGTAACTTAAAGAAATGTTTCCTCAACCTCTATAACGTAAAAGTTGTTTGTCAATGTATCATTTATTGCATGCACGATCATTTATTAAGCAATGTTACATGAAATATAATGTATTCTCCTCTTTATTCGTCATTAAAAATCAGATCAGATCAGAATCGATTTAGATTCTGTGAATTGTGTGAAACAAAAGAAAACCACAGACACTTTAAGTATAATAAACCTGCAATATGCAATGTAAATAATTAAATTTGATTATTTAAATTTCAGTATCCACCAATCCTTCTGACGCATTCGAGTAAAACAAGGAACAAGGGTACATACATACATATGGACATACCTACCCTCTATATTAACCTAACATAGACCGTTGATAACTTAAACCTATACAACTTAAAATATTTTGTGTTCCCCTTGGACTTTAACTTATCGAGGTTCTACTGTATTGCTTTATTTTTTTATTAAATATACAAGGAGAAAAGCTAAAGGTACAATGTAGAGTTAATTAGCCTAGAACTCAAAACCTGTGCATGATCAACTGTGCCAAATTTTATTTCTGTACAAGTTTTGGAAAATACTTTTAATTTATTACTCCCAAACTTAACTCGTTATGTTTAATTACAGAAACAACGACTGTCATTATTATTTACTAGGAACAGGAGTGAATAAATGTAGAACTAGGGTAAAAAAAATAACATAACTTAAGTCTGTAAACTAGAGAGATTTTCTTTGACTGAGCTGTCACTGTTTGCCTTGACAAGCAATTATGGTACAGCCCCACCAGGCTAGAGGTGGCCGAGAGCAGATGCTTAAATTAAACCTCGATATGCAAAGGTTACGGGTCTCTATTTGGTGCGGTCTGGAGTCTAGCCATACATCTCAATCATCTTCTTTACATTATAATTATTAAGCATTGAAGCTCGTCGATTTCGTTTGTTTTGCACCTTTATCAGAATCTCAGCAATTTGTTGAATGTCATGATACTCACACATATGTATGTATGTGACCATATGAATTGATAATATTAACATCTAATATTTTGCCAATCATTAAACATTCATTGTTAAAATCACCGTTTTAATTTATTTGAATAAAATAAGAATTGATTTTAAATGGAATGATGAAAATCGGCCATTATAAGTTTCTCGTAACTATATAATCGGTCATAACTCCTCATAACTATTTTAATAATGTTCTATTGGTGTAGGTACCATTAACTGGTGAACTGTTCCGATAGTCGCTGGCATATGCCACAACTATTAGTAAAAAGACCTAACAAAATAAAGTAAAATCATACGAGTATGAAGAATAGTTTCAAGTGCACATACAGCTGCTGATGTACCATATCACTTACAATTAATATACCCACCACAGTAGGTACGTACCCTGTTAATGTCTTCCTCAGTCAACTGTTTAGATTTACACTCGCCTTTGTTATCCATGTCGTGCAAGATAGATGTAATCGGATTGTTTAAATTTATGACGTCACGAAACGACTAGTCAAACTAATTTTAATTAAATGTCATTACGTGATACACTAAATTAATTGAGGAAAGAAAATTAAAACGGTTAGCAGCCGTAGAAAAAGTCAACCGATGTCAAACGTGAATAAAAAGAACTGGTGCACATAACGGACAGGCTTTAATAAAAGAAGCAGAAAAGTAAAGGCAAATTAGAGTAATATGCATTATTAATGTTTAAAGTAAATTTGTTTAGATGTCGACCGCCCCCCGAAAGAAAGCACGGGCACGCTCCTGCGAGCCTGGCACCGCCATCCGCGGTCTCATCGATCCCACGCTAACTACATTTAAATTCACTACCACCCGTAATATTTTATTCGCAGACGTCATTAAACGTATTATATAATTTACTACCTAAATAATAGTAGGTTCATTAGCATGAGGTGATGAGCTTCGGTGGCACAGGGGTTGTGTAGTCGGCTTGTAATCTACAGGTCCGTGTTCGATATCCGTTTTGAACCAATTTGTTTTCGACTTCCTTATGGCAAAAAAATTCTTCGTGATGACCCAATTGCAATCGTGATGCAATGGAATGCGTGTTTATTTTTTATTTCATAGTTGTTGCAGTTTAATTGTATAGACTGACATGACTGACTGACATTTGTCCAAGTGGGCATAAGTTAAACTAAATTGCTACTAACACTCTTCTGTCAATGTAAAAAAGTGACCAAGGTCCTTTTCGAACTCCAGTCAAGCAAGGATATCTAGACCGATGATAAAGTTCTGATATCGCGGTTTGCCAGAAAACTACTAAATAGACATAGAAAATGACACAAACGAAAAGGAAAATAGTCACTAGACAGCTTCTGGACAGTAAGGATATCATGAGACTTCTTTGTTTGTTGTGCGATTGTCGAAAGTTTCGCAGCCAATTCAACTGTTTAGCTGCACAACTAAAAATCGCGTAGTGTGTGTACCTCCACATAAGAACTACCCTCTCTATTACCCTGACATTAAATGTCCCTTTTATTTTTCAACGATTGCCGGGTGCCAAACGAATCATGCATATAGTGCGACAAGACTCTTGTGGCATCTTTTGGCGCCTCTGAGCATTTAGGGTTACCAGCAAGGTATTATGTCCGCGTTAAAGGGAAATTCTTTCCTTTTGAAAACGAAAACGCAAATTGTAAAGGAAGTACTTGTACCTTATAATGTAACTACGAAATGCCCCAGACTTCGTTTGTCGGTTAGAAGGCTCTATAGTTAAAGAATCTTTGTAACAAACTTTTTTAAAGCACTATATTGAGACCGTTCGGTAGGGAAGGAATAGTCTTAACAAAATAGAAATTGTCTCACTTAGTGCTTATCTACAGAATAATAGAAATCTTACTTATTGTTGTTTATAATCAACGCACTGTTCAACTATGTTGTTAGTTTATGATACAATAATGAGTACACACAGTAATTTCCTTAATACGTATGTGAATATAAAATTAACGTCAAGAAGGCCATACTTCCAGGTGCACAAATACGTTACAATAAAGGGTAGGTCACTGCAATTGAAATAGGAAATAAAACAACTTTCAGCAAAATATTTTTTAAGTCAATTAGTATATAACATTTTTTTTTAATCACAAATCTAAAAATATGCTTCGCCTTGAGAGTTAGGGAATTTCTTGATTAACAAATGGTAACAAATTCTGATTGCAGAAGACCCAAGATGATTCACATTTTCAAATGTAATTACTGGACCCCCTTACTTCTTCTCAGCGATAAAAATATCTCCCACTTAAAAAAAAAACTCTCTTGCATTACTTTTAAACGCTTTCAACACTTTATTTCGTGGAATAACATTAAAAAGCTACACAAAATGCGTAAAGTAATGACGCGAAATGAACTGACAAGCTATGTCATTATTACCCTGACATTAAATGTCACTTCTCATTGCCGGGTGCCAAAAGAATCATGTACATCTATATATAGATAGAGAGAGACACTTTATTGTAACGTGTTTTGTGCTCCTGGAAGTGTGGCCTTCGTGACATAAATTTCATATTAACTTACGTAATTACTGTGTGTACTCGGTAATGCATCAAAAACTAATGAATTTATTCTAATAATTTTAAAACGCACAGTTCAAACCATACCACATATTTGTACTGTGCGTTGATTATAAACAACAATAAGTAAGATTTCTATTATTCTGTAGATGAGCACTAAGTAAGACTATTTCTATTTTGTTAGACTATTCCTTGCCTAACTGCCTAAGAGAGTGCATTATTAAAAGTTTGCTACAAAGATTCTTTAACTATAGAGCCTTCTACCCGACAAACGAAGTCTGGTGCATTTCGTAGTTACATTGTAAGGTACAAGTACTTTCATTACAATTTGCGTTTTCGTTTTCAAAAAGAAAGATTTTTCCTTAAATGCGAACATATTACCTTGCTGGTAACCCTAAATGCTCAGAGGCGCCATCCTGTCAATGGCAAAAAGGTGCCACAAGAGCCTTGCGGGACTATATCTTATTTATACAAACTATAGTGCACCTTCAACAGAATGATAAACTTTATAACAAAGCAACGCCGTCTATTGCCGACCTAGATAATTAGTTCCAGGTTCTTGTAATATAAATAGATTTACAAGGCTGTGAAATACTGAACTTCTTGTTATAAAAACTTATAAGACTTCCCATAGATTGAACTCAACACTTTGTAATAGATACTCTATTTACCCATCTGCCTATTAAATGAGAAAATTACTATACTTATGTTCAACCAGTGTTGATTGTTTTGGAATTTAAGTTCACTTTAAGAATCATTTGATTAAAGGTAAACTGTTGGTAGTTTTGTAATATTAAAAAAAACACCAAATAGAGAGAAAACTGTATTTAATGTATTTTAAAGGAAAAAAAAGCACGAACAAAAGAAAAGTAATTTTACAAATTAAATCTTCTAATAAATCAACAATAGCAATATTAGTATCAGAGTTGTATATTATTTATAAGCAAATAATGGTACAACTTGAAACGATATCCAAAAAATTGTTTAATATTTCACATTATAGTGATACAAGATATGATATAAAGGTCATTAATTGACGTATAGAAAAAGACTGTTACATATTAGGCCCTCGGTTAAAAATAGTCAGGACCTTGTATGAGTATATGAGGAACCTACGATATAAATACGTATTATAAAATGGATATAGTATGTTCGTATAAAGGAGCTAAATATTAAAAATGTTGTAGCTACACATCGAGTACGTTTTATACCAAAGACATTACAAAAATATATAGAGGAAGCATAGATGACACTTTACTTGAGACATTTTTCACATTATCCACTAATGCTGTCTATTGATAGGTCATCAAGACCACTTGTCACAATTAATTGTATTGAATTTAATTACCAATAGGTGTCATTAAATTAAATTTAACTGTCTGTTTTATTTTTTGATGAAGCTTATTATAATTTAATAAAATGTTTTATATCATGTCAATACAAGAACATAGGTACTAAACTTGACAACTAACATAGTAAGTATTTTCAAAGAATTTACCAGTGAAAAATTGCTGTTTCCTATGTCTAGTCTATATATTTCTTTAAAGTCTTTGATTATACTAACAATCTTATTACTAATTATTATGAGTAATAAATGCGAAAAGACGGAATTAACACTAGTAGTGAACAAAATCAAAATGATATGTTTTTCTTAAAACATATGTAAGTGTTAATTAGTAAATCGAATAGAAGCCTTAGAATGTTCAATGCAAAAAATAGAAAAAAAAAATAAACCAATCAACTCTCTTTACTGTAATTAATTCTAAATGTATTGTAATGTTAGTGTTTTACCTAACTGTACTTAAATATATGCCTAGTAAATGGATATATAATGTTTAGTAATAGTAATAGGAGAGTGTTAAATTTAAATATGCTTTAACACACTACATACATATATGATGAAAATACTAGCAGTGGGAATATATACTACAGTAATATTATAAAGATAATAAAAACTGCAATTTCTATGTAATCAATAAATTGAAAATTATACCAGAGTAATATAGGCTTAAATGTTGTTAATTAGGTTTTATTACAAAGTCCACCCGTGTTAAGCCGGAAAAATCGTTAGTAAGAAATATTTTTTATAAAAGTAGATAAATTTGTAATTTTGGCCGTATGTCTAATAAATACTAAAATTATGACTTAAAACTATCACAGGCCTTTTCCAGGGAGATCAATCAGGCGGTAAAGTAATTACATGTAAATTATAGTAATATAATGCAAGTGAGTTTTTTCTCACTAAGTTTATAGTCTGACCAGAAATAACAAAAACACCTGACCATATTTTGAAGGAATAAAACTAATTTCTTCGCGTACTTATAGATGTTAAATAAAGCGATATAGGTGTCCTGACATATTTCTTGGTCAGAATATATGTGAGGTCAAACTTGCACTCGCCAACTTATAACACTAAATCCTATTTTATTATTTCTTATCTAGTATAGGCTGTAAGTCGCTCGGTAAAGATATATTTATATGAGCTAACAAGACTTCACGCCATTCTACTTATTTACATTGATCTTATACATACTTACATCTAAGATATTGTTTTAATATGAAATATTATGCTAATATACATGGCAAAATCCTAAACCACTCTTATAGGTAATTTACGAATGTTACATACTATTCTGTTGCGTTCTATTACTGGCACATTTTTATTTATTTAAATAAATAAACAAAATAAGATGTACTATTAAATATTACCTTAAGTAAAAAAATGCAATTTTATAATCAAATACAAATCATCCAAAAACTGTGAAAAAACTAAAAAAGACATGAGTATTTTCCTCTTTAATATATGTTATCTAATTGTGTAATCAAATATAAATCATCTAAAAACTGTGAAAAAAAAAACGAAAAAAGACGTAACATAAAACTATTATATGTTAATAATCTAATTGTGTAATAGTAACAATGAAACTTAAAAGCTATTTTGTTACCAGTGAGTTCTAATACTAAAATGAGAAAACTATGAACTATTCTATTACTAACACCAATAATCCAGTAAACTAACACTGGAATTTGGCAACAACGCAAGTTGTCCTTTATATCTAGTATCTACTTTTTAGCAGTCTTGTGGAATGGTAATAACATATTGTCTGGGACTTCTGGTGGGAAATCAAACAGACTATTAAACATTTAAATTTCATAACAAATATTCGTTATTTTAGATATCTATTATAATAGATTGGGATCCCAGAGCAGGATGACGACACCTAAATTCTGTGGCAGTCACCGGAAATTGTCTGCCAATATTTGTTAAGATTACTTAACAACTACTAGTCAAGTTAAACAATTATGTTACAGTGGTCAACTGCCCCATTGGACAGGATAACTTAGGTATCGTTATCCTGCTCTGGGATCTCAATCTATAACCTTTTAACATGTTTATAATGGGATCGTCCATTTAATCACACGTGTTTGACGAAGGGGAGGGGGACAAAAATTATGAAATACTATACTATTTTTTTACACTATTTTGTCGACATTCTAGAGTAAAATGGGAAACAATAACTAAAACATCGTGCGATTAATGGAAGATCCCATAAAATCAAAAGTAGTTAATGGTAGAAAAAGAGTAACAATATAGAAGAAACATGGAACTAATATAAATTTCAAAAATAGGAAAAAAATTGGAGACTTATAAATGCGTAGGATATCCATAAAAAATCAAGCACTGGGCGATTCCTCCTGCATCTTGGTCTTACAAAAAGTAAAAAAATTAGAAAAGTGAAACAAACATTTGAAAAACTGTAACACTTATTATTTAATCTTAAATTAAGACTTATTAGCAACGTTAAACTAAGATTCTACTTCAGTTATTACTAAAAGTTGAGATGATTGTTCCTATTTATTTGACATCTATTCGTACCTGAAAGATAAAATGAAATAATTATTTGTCTGCTCAATTAGCTTAAAAGGTGTTTTGTTATTAATAAGATTGCAATAAACATACTTAGGTCATTATAGTGCCATGCTGACCAACCATGAGTGCAGTCGCCCATTGCAGCTGATTCTCCGTTCCACCAGCTATGGTGCTGCCGAAGAATGGATGCTCCTTGCTCCTAATCACATTTATCAATATAAAAAAATAAAATAACAAAGTCAATATAATTTCAACAGCCGGCAACGCATCTGCAGTTCCTCTGGTATTGCGGATGTCTGTACAATGATAAACATCTCAATGTTTCCGCTGCCCGTTTGCCCCCTTCTCTTGTAAAGTTATAAATATGTTTCTCATATATAACAGCAATTAATTTTACCTTCGATTCTTATTTTTGTGAATAAATGTTATAGTCCAACGACTATGCGGGTCTCTCTTAGACTCATGGCCAAAATACCAGATTATATCTTTAATGTCCCATTCCTCCACAACATCTGAACCCTAAAAAGTGAAGCGATATTAATATTACCAATTCTTATACTAATTAAAACAATTTAAAAAACATTCACTTACCTCATCGTCAGCATAGCGATATAGCTTAGAGCAATGCAATTCAAATAAATAAGATTTGAATATATCTGTTCCAGCGTTTGCAAAACGGAATTGGCAGCGTAGCCACGTTTCGGATTTTAACACTTTTTCCATTTGGTAGAGTATTTTGTTATTTTTTACCACCAAGTTATTATCCTTTCCATCATTATCGTCCCAACATCCCCATCGGGTAACTATATGCAATACAATCTCATCTTGGTGCACGATCCGTTTCATACTTCCATTGCAAATTTGTTCCTCCAACATAAGCTGATCTAGAGGAATAATCGTGTACGCGCTAAGTTCCGCACACACATTGGCGCTAGTCTTTTCAGGTGTGAGCGAAACTTGGATGTGAGAATGTGTATTCTCCATGTAAACCCAGAAAAGCAGATCGTGTGCTTTGCTCGGCTGAGCTACCGAACCAGATGTCTCCTGTATCTTCCTGATGAGCAGATGGGATAATAAATCGCGTTTTGAGTCATTTACATCCACCGGCCAAATAAATTTATACATTAAGATCATTTGTTTAACAATAATTATGTCATTTTCTGGCCCCGATGTTTGATGATCTTGGGCTCTCTGTGAGGAAAATTTAATTTGTTGAAATTGTACATTACTTTCAATTACAACAAAATTTACAGCAATTAGACGATTGGCATTCAATAAATCCAACAATGTTTAAAAAGTTACTTTAAGCTTTGACATTAGTCGATTGAAGTAAAACATACGTACCGAAGCGCGCGGCAAAATGATGGGGGCCCACACCGCGGCCAAATTCTCCGCACTCATTTTGTTAAAAGCACTCCATTGCTGGATGAAGTACAGGTGTGAGAATAGTTTACGTATCGTGTTAGAGTATACTGGGCTCAAGTTAGCTATAGCGCTTTGGTACTCATCGACGCGCCACAAATTGTTCTCCATCGCTATAAATTATATGCCAGTTGCTATTATACAATGGTAATAGGAAATAAAACTATTTTGTGTTAATGTTATCATACGTTTGTTGTACATACATACAAGAACTTGATTAATACCTGAGGCGTAAATCAAACGATGTTTGCATTCTCTTGAAATTAGTGGGGTATGCAAATTACGAAGGAAACGTTTTAATAGTCCAGCGACAACATGCTCGGAGTAGGTTTGAGGAGTCAGTTGCACAGACCACGCATCAGCCTTGAATCGCTCCAGTAACTCTGTCAGTACGACGCTGCTAGTTGCACGACGGTAGATATCCTCTGTTAGGATGCCTGTGCCCAACGTCATTCCAATTTACACATAAGAAACACCAACAAAATAACAAAATATCCATAACATTATAACATTTACATTGTTCTCAAATCAGAATCCGGAATGTTAACTCTGTTCTTTTATAACATTATCATCTTTGCTTTTATAAATAAAATAGTTAAGAAGTTTGCAATTTCTTCATCACTTACCGTGAATATCAATGAAGGTAATGCATTTATCTACTATGGTCGGGATGTCTTCATTAGTGAGTTGTTGCTCGTCAAGTTCTACAAAATTGCTGTGCGCCGCACATCGTATGACAGTGTTCCAATTCTACGATCATAATATTAAAAAGTAATATTATCTACCGGTTTACGTTTATAATACAAATAAAAAAAAAAAACAAATATACATAAAAATTAAGACCAAAGCGATGCAAGGATATGGATGCTAATTGCATGTTAATTTCGATCCGTTACCTGGAGCTCCTCAGTATGGAGAAATCGCAAGTGTAATGATGCTCCATAACCGTCTAAAAACAAATTAGAGCCACAATCACCGGGGCATGCTTTTTTTGATTCCTCGTCGGCTTCCTGAGTACCTGTTGATAATAAACGCATTCAGCATCTAAAGCGGTCAAGCGGCAACGCAGGCCAGAACACTATCACATGCAGAACTATTCAATTATTATATCAAATTGCGATCAATCTTAACTCAACTCGAACATGAAGAAAATTATTGAGATGAGAGTACAATTAAGTAGGCATTAAAAGATGCATATACTTCATGCATTATTTTAAACAGAGTTTGCTTGTCTGCAGCAGGTAAAGTTAGCAGGCAGTATCCACTTCTAAAAGGATAATAATTGTTTGTGCGTCTTGTACGACTAATAATATACAGAGTTATTGGTAGACGTATTCCCGTTAGGAGGTAAGAGGGGATCATTTGTGATAATTTTGAAAGTTAACCAAATGGTTAACTTTTGGATAATGCATATAGGTGTCAAAAAAATCGCTATGGAACTTGGTCTGCAGGTTTTTTTTTAAACATGTCCGTTTTTTTAGCTCTCCAAAAATGCATAATAACTAAGAACTTGTCCCAAGGCCACTGAAATAAACACATAAATAAGCGTACTCCTCCCTTAAAGACCGGCATCGCATATGCAGTACCCTTGGCGGATTGCGGATGTTCATGGGCGTCGGATAACTTAATATCAAGCGATCTGTTGCTCCTTTGTCCGCTTTTTTTTGTTAATGGACGAAAAAATATCTAGCAAATTCATAATTCAACTCAATTTTGCTAGTAAATCTTCAAATTAAAGAACGTTTATTGTAGAGCTTATGTTTACTTTGATAACGGTTAAAACCAGCTCTTTCAGTTTAGTGCTCGGAAAAAATGAGGTTCATGGATATTAAACCACCAATGAAAGTTTTTGTTTAAATTTGATAACTGATTTTTTTTAATAGCATTTCTTTCCCGGCATCAATTAACTCTTAGTTTATTTTGACTTTTATTTACTAAACAGCAACAGACAAAGAAGAAGGCGTTTTCATCGATCAATACTCGAAGCACACAAAATGGCCGCAAGCAAGAGAAGCGCACGTAATGGCAACTGGCTGTAATGATTCGCGTATGCTATTCAAAGTTTCGTAAGTTTTCAAAGTAATTGACAACAAAGATATATTAACTCTCGATTACATTATATTTTATCAGTTTACAAAAAGTATTTGATAAATCAATACACAGACTCTTTCAACCATATTGAATACATACATAGACTAAACAAAGATGCGTAGAAAATTTACGCGCACCTGAAACCAAGTGCCTATATCTATTTAGTGGACAATGCGTGGGAAGGCGCGCGATACTGCCATTTGAATGAAAACGCGTTTCCTATTTCCAAACGCTACAAGGATTTTTTTCCAAAATGACAGTCGCTCGCGAAGCAAAAAGTGTAAAGCAAACAGACTATACAGTATAATTTTACATTTCTTACGAACGAAAAGAACGAAACTAAAAAAATGGAAAATAAACAATAGAAATAATATGCAATAAATAAACCAAAACCCCGTTATCATGTCAACAAGCCATAGCCATACAAAAACCCAGTTATTATAAATATTTTACGTACCTTTTTGAATTGCTTCGAATAGATGGATGGATGTCAGTGGGCTATTCCTGACGATAATTTTCACAAGCAGATAATAAATAAATTATAATGACTACTATATACTATGTACTATGTACTACGTAGAATATTTTTTCAATAACAAATTTAAACTAATCGAAATTAAAGTTTTAAAGTAAAAAAAAAAGTTTAAACACAGAAGGAAAAGTTGCAACAAATGTCTAGGCGACGAATATGAAAATGAAACCAGTTTTCATGAGAGACTGAAAGAAATATCTTTATGTAGATAGCAAGCCTAGAAGAAAACATCTGAAATTGAAAGCTTTTTTCCAAATTAATCAATAATTTATGTTTGAGAAGATGTAAAATAAGGGAAAACAGCATTTCGACGTGAATTTAAAAAAATTAAAAATTTTTTGCAACTGAGCACTCTGTGTCTAGACTCCCGTTCGAGCTACAACTGAAATTCCCTTTTCCAGGGGGCTCCCAGGTCCTAGAGGGGGTGTATAATGCGCGCGACGGCGTCGAGTCCATCCCGCTCCCACTTGGTAATATGCAAGTGCACCCGCCCTGTCGCTATGCAGCTTTGCAATCAATAAATCACGCCGTCTAGACGAAACGACCACACCCACTTTTACATGTCTAGACTTCCCGGCACGCTCCCCTATGCGTTGTTAATTTATCACGATCGAAAAGAGAATTCTAAGCGTTTTGCTCACTAAATCGTTTTAATATTTACGATTGTACAAAAGTCATTAATACAAACTAAAACTATAAACATTTTGAATCGAGATAATCATAACAATACTTATGAGTTCCTATTTATGCAGTTTCGTAAAAGAGACCACGCCCTGAATTAAGTGACATCTTAATTTATTTGTAATTAAATATTTGGTACTAGCTGTTGCTCGCGACTTGGCCCAAATGAAATTACAGATATAACGTATTACGTTCTCCCTTTTTTTCAACCTATTACCAAAAGTATTAACTTAGTAGTAATATACGAAATGACAGAAATCTACCGATGCAATATTCGAAATTTCTAAGCCCTGTAGCTTGTAAGGTGATTTTTCGGTTACCCTTATTGTTTGTGTTCGCGATATCTTCTAAACTATTAGTCCAATTTAAATACTGTTAAGGACAATTTTATTCTACATTAAATTCTCCTGATAACAAACATTTATTCGGATAAGGATTAATATTGAAACCAATAAAAGAATGCTGCAAATAGCGTGAGGTTTTTAATTCATTATGTAAACAAAAAAGTGGTTATTGTAATAAAACCGTTAAAGATAGATATATGCTATCGCGAACTTTTTAAGATCTACAAGTCTTCCATACATCATTTTTATATACCTCTAACGGTTTAGGCAGCGTAAGCCGAGAAAAGTTAAAGTTTAGTTGAGATAAATAATTACAATTAAACACTTTTCCCAGATGACAGCTCGTTTTATTATTATTGGTTGCTAACGCAACCAGTGTGGACATCACACTCCTCCACACTGATTCTGTAAATACAATACAAATACAAAATAACAAAAGTTATAAATACACATTAAAAAT